CAAACAAGATACAATTGACATATTGAAATCAATTATATTTTTATATGCCTGCAATGAATAATTGGAATTCCTTTTTTAAATGCCATTTATAGCATCAAAAAAGGAAAGGAAAAATATATAGGTATAAATCTAACAAAATATGTGCTGGATCTGTATGTTGAAAACTTCAAAACACTGATGAAAGACATCAAAGAGGAGCTAAACAAATGGAGAAATATATTGTATTCATAAATCAGAACACTTCATATTATGAAGCTACCAATGGTCCACAAATTGATCTTAGAGTCAATGCAATCATAATCAAAATCCTAACAGGATTTTGTGTACATATTAACAAGTTGATGCTAAAATTTATGTGGAAAGAAAAGAAACGAAAATAACCAAAGCAATCTTAAAGAAAGAACAAAGAGGATTCACACCCCCGATGTCAAATTTTATTATAAAAGTACAGTAATCAAGACAGTGTGGAATTTGTGAAATAATAGACACATAGATCAATGGAACAGAACAGAGAGTCCAGAGACTAACCCACACAATATGGGAAATTGATTTTGACAAAGGTGTCAAAGTAATTCAACGAGGGAAAGAACAGTCCTTTCAACAATTAGTACTGGAACCATAGGACATCCATCAGAAAAACATAATAACCTTAAGCAACAACTCAAACTGTACACCAAAATTAAGTAAAAATGGATTATAGACCTAAACATAAAATGCAAAACTATGCATTTTTTAATAAGAAAACACAGAGAAAATCCTTGTGATCTTGGATTAGGGAAAGAGTTCTTAAATACAATATTTTAAAAATCCATAAAGGAAAAAAATTGATAAAAAGGATAATCCAAAGTAAAACTTTTCATTATGCAAAAGACACCGATAAGACATTAAAGACAGACACTTGCCTGGGCATGGTGGCTCATGCTTGTAACCCCAATATTTTGGAAGGCGGAGGTAAAAGGATTGCCTGAGTCCAGGGGTTCAAGACCAGCCTGGACAACTTTGCAAGACCTTGTCTCTACAATCAATCAATCAATCAATTAGCTGGGCGTGATGGCACATGCCTGTGGTTCCAGCTACGTGGAAGGCTGAAGCGGGAGGATCACCTGAGCCCAGTAAGTCGAGTCTGCGGTGACCCTGAGCATGCCACTACACTCCAGCCTAGGTGACAGTGAGACTTTGTCTCAAAAAAAAAAATACCACTACATGCCTATTCGAATGAATAAAATAAAAATACCAACGGCTGATAAGGATGTGAGAAACTAGAATTCTCATATATTGCTGGTAGAAATGTAAAATCATATAACCACTTTGAAAAACAATTAGGCAGTTTCTTATAAAGTTAAACATATACTTTTCACATGACCCAGTAACTCCATTTCTAAATATTTACCCAAGAGAAATGAAAACTTATATTCAAGCCATGTATGGTGGCCCATGCCTGTAATCCCAGCACTTCAAGAGGCTAACTCAGGAGGATTGCTTGAACCCAGGAGTTTGACACCAGCCTAGGCAACATAGTGAGACCTCATCTCTACAAATACTTAAAAATAACCAGATGTTGCCAGGCTCGGTGGCTCAGCCTGTAATCCCGCGCCTTTGGGAGGCTGAGGTGAGTGAATTGCCTGAGCCCGCGGGTTCGAGACCCGCCTGGGCAGCGAGACCTCATCTCTATAATAAATCAAAAAATCAGTTGGGCGTGGTGGCGCATGCCTGTAATTCCGGCTACTCGGAAGGCTGAGGCGGATGGATCGCCGGAGCCCAGCAGGCCGAGGCTGCGGTGGCCGGGAGCGGCCACTGCACTCCAGTCTGGGCGACAGAGTGAGACTCCAACTCAAAAAAAAAAAAAAAATACCCAGATGTTGAGGTGCACATCTGTAGTCTCAGCTACTCGGGGATTGAGGTAGAAGGATCACCTGAACCCATGAGGTCAAAGCTGCAGTGAGCCATGATCGTGCCACAGGACACCAGCCTGGTAGACAGAGTGAGACCCTGACTCAAAAAAAAATTATGTTCACACAAAAACCTGTGTTTCGAATGTTTATGGCAGTTATGGCAATGTTTATTCATAACCAACAAAAACTAGAAATAAATGTTCTTCATCTGGTGAATACATAAACTATGGCACATCTCATACAATGGAATACTATTCTGCAACAAAAAAGTAAGAATTGAAATAAACCAGATCACAAAAGTTTTGTATGATTTACTATGTGACTTTTTTGTTGTTTTGATCAGGAATCTCACCCTGTCACCCAGGCTGGAGTACAGTGGCATGCTCACAGCCACCGCAGCCTCTACCTGCTGGGCTCAGGTGATCCTTCTGCCTTAGCCTTCCAAGTATCTGGAACCAAAGGCACATGCCACCATGCCCAGCTAATTTTTGTATTTATTGGAGAGACAAGGCCCTGCCAAGTTGCCCAGGCTGGTCTCAAAACCCTGGACTTAGGCAATCCTCTCACCTCTGCCTCCCAAAGTGCTGGGATTACAGGTGTGAGCCACTGTGCCCAACCTGTATGACTTATTTATATGACATTCTGAGAAACACAAAACTATAGGGGTGGAAAATAGATAAAAGCTGCCAGGGATTGGGGTGGGGAAAAGGGCTACACGTGTCAAAACTCAAAGCATTGTACACCAAAAAGAATGAATTTTATTGTATATAATTTCTGTAACATGTATTTTTTTAAAATAGCATGTCTGTGTGGTTTTTATTGCATTACGTGATAACTGCAACACTATCACAGAAATAAAAGACATAGTCATTTTCAAATTTACAAATTTTTAGCCTGGGCATGGTGGCTCACATCTATAATCCCAGAACTTTGAGAGGCTGAGATGAGAGGATTGCCTGAGCCCACAGGTTCAAGACCAGCTTGGGCAACTTGGTGAGACTCCCCCCCCATCTCTACAATAAATCAAAAAATTAGCCAGGCATGGTGTCGTGTACCTGTAGTTCCAGTGACTTGGAAGGCTGAGGAGGAAGGATCACCTGAGCCCAGCAGGTGAGGCTGCAATGGCCGGGAGCGTGCCACTGCCCCCCAGCCTGGGTGACAGAGTGACACTACTACTCAAAAAAAAAAAATTTACAAATTTTTTTAAAAGGCATAAGTGGCCAGGTGTGGTGGCTCACGCCTATAACTTTGGGAGGCGGAGGCAAGAGGATTGCCTGAGTCCATGGGTTTAAGTCCAGCTTGGGCAACTTGGCGCGACCTCATCTCTACAATAAATCAAGAAATTAGCTGGGTGTGGTGGCTTTTGCCTGTGGTTCCAGCTACTTAGAAGGACCACCTGAGTCCAGCAGGTCGAGGTTGTGGTTGCTGTGAGCGTGCCACTGCACTCCAGCCTGTGCGACAGAGTGAGACTCTGACTCAAAAAAATAAAAAGCATTCACCTCAGGAAAGATCACCAATTCTAGATTCCTTGAAAAGAGTTATATATATGTAAGAGCTGGCTCTGTTCAAGAGGGTGAGGGGAAGGGGTACATTATGCTAATTTTAAATAAGTCAAAAATTCTGAGGTACATATGTTTGATGTGCAAACTTGCAATGTTCAATTCTTTCAGTTATCATATCTTTTTCCCTGAAGTTCAGGGAGCAACAAACCACACATAAATAAAAGAGTATCAGTCTATTTAATATGTCACTAAATTGTATTATTTATGTCATTATACTCAGTCACAGAGCATCATTTACTCTCATTTTGTCACTAATCAGCATGTAATATCTATGTAACTGAATTCACTCTGTAAAACTTTCAGTATCGGACCTTTTCCTACTGTGATATACTTCCACCATCAAGGACATGAGAATCTTATTACAAGTAGAAATTTAAATACTACATAACAATAAAATGTAATCCATTACTATTTCCTTTAAAACAACAAAACAAAAGACTGTTCTTTAGATCATATCAAAGAAAGAATTTTTCCTCACTAGGAATGAATAAAACATGTTATAAAATAAACTGTGCCCCTCCAACCCATATGCTGAAGCCCTAACCCCAAAAGTTAGAATATTTGGAATTGGGGCATCTGAAACTTAATAAGGTTTAGAGAAGGTCATGAGGGTCAGGCCCCCATGATGAGATTAGTGCCCTTATAACGAGAGAAAGGGCGCTTGCTCTCGTTCTTCCCCCCACCCCCTACATGAGAACACAGGAAGAAAGATGGCTGTATACAAGCCAGTAACAGAGCCCTCGCCAGAACCCAAATATGCCAGCATCCTCATTGGACTTCCCAGGCTCCAGAACTGTGAGAAAATAAATTTCAGTTGTTTAACACACCCTGTCTATGGTACTATGCTATGGCAGCCTGAGCTGACCAAGACAAAAACATATCAAGGAATCTGGAGGTAAAACCCTATACAATTCAGCACTTTATCAGTGAAGCACTGTGGGAAAAGGAATGAATACAATGCAGGGGAGGGGACACTTCGTTATAGAGAGCCTAGTCCCTATTACTGACTTCATGTGTGCCCTTGAGCAAGTTGCTCCCTAGTTTGTCCACAGATTCTGTATCTATATAATTAGGGGACTGGTGAGCAACTGTCACAGCCACTGTACAGCATCACCCCCACCCCTACTTTGACTATGACTGTAACTTGGAACTGCAATCACTAATGATGCTGCAATAACTAGGCGAGACAGGAAGAAATAATCCTGGAAGGCAGTGACAAGGAGAATAACAAAATGTTGTGCATAAATTGCCTCTCTAGCATGATCTATAATGCAAGATGTATCACTGAGACGAGCATTTATAAAACCTACTTCAAAAACAAAGATCAAAATTGAATACCACAGCACCATCGCCATCTCTTTGTACTAGAGCTTAAGATATACAAAAAAGATGAAAAGAATGCAGATACAACAGAAAGGGAATACAAAAAGCACAGTGGTCATTCATCTCCTTCCTACTCTTTGTTACAGTGTACAATATTTTTTTCGAAGATGAGGTATAAGGAAGAGTATAATTGCATAGGGAAAAAAGAATGTGAGATACTAACCCGGGACATAATAGTGCTGTCAGCAAAAAATTTGTCTTCCACTTAACACCATTAAATGCTGAGGAAGTAAAAGACAGAATAGTTACTGTAGCAACTTGATTTAGTTCATTTTACAAATACTTTAGAGTAACCAAGGCACAATTACATTCTGATAGGCTGGCTAAAATTCCACATGCAAATTTTCTTTAATTTTTTATTTTACAGCCTTTTAATTTCTACATTAGCACACCAACTTCCTGGAATAATAACAGTTGTAATGCTTACTCTTATACATTTTAGCAGACACATATCCGGCAGAGGTTCCCAGAAGTACCCATAACACAACAGCACAGGTCATTAAAGCTCCTCTATTAGCTGGGGAAAGAAAACCGAGGCAGGCCAGAACTAAAGGTACAAGAAAGAAATAGAAAACTAGTGACAATAATAGTCTTTAAAGTACATAGGACTTTACAAGAAATTAAGCACAACTTTAATAAGACATATGATATGAAATGGCACACAAGGCAATTATCTAATGGGAGTGTTTGACGGATGTTACAAACAAACGTTATTCACTTAGCTAAGTTTTTGACATTTGTTTCTTATCGAAAAAGTCTGATTTAGCCAGGTTCAGTGGCTCACACCTATAATCCCAGCACTTTGGGAGGCGGAGGCAAGAGGATTGCCTGAGTCCAGGGGTTCAAAATCAGCCTGGGCAACTTGACGAGACCTCGTCTCTATAGCAAAACAAAAAAAAAAAAAAAAAGCCGGGCATGGTAGCACGCGTCTGTAGTTCCGGCTACTTGGAAAGCTGAGGCGGAAGGATCACTGGAGCCCAGCAGATCGAGGCTGCGGTGGCTATGAATGTGCCACTGCACTCCTGCCTGGGCAACAGAGTGAGACTCCAACTCAAAAAAA